ACTTAACAACCTAGCTTCAGTTTCTCATCTCTGCTGCCACCACACACACACACACACACACGTGCACAGATACACACACACACACATGCCCTTGCCCTCCCCACTGCACTCTGATCCAGCCGTCCTGAACTGCCTCTAGCCCCTGGAATGCACCATGCACAACACACGTGCACAGATACACACACACACATACACATGCCCTTGCCCTCCCACTGCACTCTGATCCAGCCGTCCTGAACTGCCTCTAGCCCCTGGAATGCACCATGCACATGGTGCCCGTCTGCCTTTCACATGCTGTTTCCTCTAACTGGAGTTCCTGTCTCTCTGTCCTCCCTTTCTTCTGTAATTTATATGTCACTTTCCTACACATCCCTCTTCCCTACAAAGTCCAGTTTAGTTGTTCCCATTGTGTCTTCACTTCATACCTATAACATCTCCCGAGATGACACTGTATCATAAAAACCTGTTTGCTGGCTTGTCTCCCCCACAAGATTGATAAGGTCATCTAAGCTCTGTGTCTTATTTACCATTGTAATTCACCTTGTAGCTTGGCACTGAGGGTGCACAGTCAATTCCATCGAAGAATAAAGCATTGCTGCTATGGCAGTGTCGTCTATGTCTACAGCGCCGTTGTCTTTTTTTTCATTCAGGACCGTTCTATTGATAGAATGGCTGCTTTGTTTTGTTTGTTTTTTGGCAGCTAGCCTGTAAGAGGATCCAAACCCTTCACCTTGGTGTTCTCAGCTCCATACTCTAAGCAAGTGAACTAACTGGCCAGCCCTGACTGCATGGCTATTATGCAATCTATCGCTCTCCCCTGCATTTTTAAAATTGTTAATCAATTTATGACTGACTCAGAATAAAAACTGGTAATACTTATTTCACTTCTCATCTGATCAGTAGGAGCATGGCCTTCACAGTGCCAGGTATTGATACCACTGAGATCCTTATAAGGCATGTCCGAAAGTTAGGGAGGGGGTGACCCACAGTATTAACACCCTTGGGAATCCCTGCAGTTCTTTACAAAATTCTCAACTGATGGTCCCTTTGAATCAACTTCTCAGACATCCATGCCCACCACTTCCTCACTCTGGCTTATTTGGGCTCATCCTTTAAAACTCAGTTCAGATGTCCCACGTGGTTTTCTCAGAGCCCCCACCGGCTAGCTTAGCTCTGTTGCTCCTGGGGGATGGTAGCAACTGTACAGATCTCTGTGCTCACCTCCTTTGATGGCTTATGTGTGTTACTGTGAGTTCTGTGAGGCACCACAGAGCCTGGCGTGATTAAGTGAATGGAACTAAACTGACAAATTACCCTAAAGGATTAGTACCTCGATGTGTCAGATAAAGCCGTCTTTGTCTAAAGTGAGGAAAAATGTGACCATATCTACTATGTGTACTTAACAGTCAGCCTACTTGAGCATATCATAGGCATTGCACAGACATTTGGGGGATCTTCTGGGAAAAATAAGCTACTGACACTCTTGCATTGGAT